CACATTGGTAATTTAAAACGACAAATAGTAAAATGGAACGGAGAACAACAGAAGGCCTCGATACGATAGGTATGAAATTAAGCTAGATTGAAGTAAGCTACGTAACCTCCTGGTTGGGTAACGGTTGCAGCATCAACCTCGTAGCCCAAATCATGCCAGTGAGAACAAATTAAATCAGTTGACAACCATAACCACTCCATGCCAATTTAAATGTAAATTGTTTGGTGAACTTGGACGTTTGGAGAGCAAATGAAAAGTGAAATTAAAAGCTAGGAGGCATTGGACAGAAAATATTTATTCTGACAGTTTTTTCTTCATCAGAGCATGAGCATAGTTTACAATGTTTGCCTCTATGGGGTGCAGCGTTATCCGTTCTATTGATATGTTATCTAATGCTTTTTCTCACATTAACTCCACCCCTCCCCCCCCAAAAAAAAACGATAAATAAATCAAACAAATTCTTGAATAATTTAGAATGTGTACTGTCAAACTCACATCTCTAAGAAGAGTTTACGAAATCCATTTCAGAGAGAGAAGAGATTAGGGCTAATGTAATAAAAGCAACAACCCCAAAACCAAACTCTTCTACGCTGTTCACTGGCATTAATTAAGCAAACAATTACGTATTTGTATCAGATCTAGTGGTAACAAAGGTGTCATCGATTCACAAGCGATTGGTTCAACAAACTAACGGGGCCGGTCCTGTTAACTCGCTAACTTACTGGACAATCATTTATAGCCTACAACTAGTTTTTCGGTCTGTGGATCATTAATGTACCGAAAAACATGACAGTGGTTACATTTAGAACTGTTATCTTTCCCAGAGGGTTGCTCAAATACCTTGTTTTTCTTACTCTGAACCCACTTTTGTTTGAGATTAGTAAATTTGAGTGCCCCCCCCCCGTGACAAAATTATCGAAGTTATCCCGTTTTTCTGGTTAGTCCCTATCTTATCTTCTACTTACCAGTGCAGTTTAAATCACGGGATAAAACCAAGTTTATAACTCGGATAATTTAAACTGATTGATTCACATTACCAGCCCTTTAAAATCAAAACCTTCCTGTTCGCCGCTCTTTTTTACCCATCCATGTATTCCACCGAATAACTAACGAACATAGTAAACATAATATTATAGTAATATTATCTAACTCTGCTTTATCAACATCCTATCACGCAGTCAGTTTCGAGAGTGAAACTTTGTATTAGATTTTCGCTCCCCAAACCAAGGGTTCGAATCTTGACCGAGACACATTTTGATCCATTGCAAAGTCATTTGGCCTCTGAAAATTAGTCAAATGAAGATATTCGGATGCGTTTAGTTAGTACCGTGGTTTGATTAAAATACCTCAAACTTCTTGATTGGTTGAGAGGGATCAATTAACACACTGTGTATTGCAGTAATCGGACAAACCCAAATTATAGATGGAGAAAACGTAAACTATTTGGAGTAAGGGACAGAAATTCGCAATGTCACCGCTTGTTGCAGTCTTCAAACAATGAAAGCTGATAAATGTGGTTACATTTACGAAAGCAACCAATACAGAAATATCGTGCATTATGCAGTTTTCCTCTTGTACTTTTGTAACTGACAACATCTTTAGCAAATCCACTGGTTTCACCTAATCATATACAATAATTCAGTAAGCAGACGGGTAATTTGCTATACAAATGCTTGCCGTAAATCAATCGCTTCTGATCACTGAACGGTATAACGAGTCCCGTGGTCTGTCCAGAATCAGTCATCCAGAGAGCAAAAACGCATTCCCGACCAAGCAAAGTGGAATAAAGTATATTTGAACATCAAAGAGACAGCTTCGCCTACTTTAATTCGCCCGCCTTCATCCCATATCTGAATCGTCGAACCGGTCTTTGGTCATCGTATTCTTCAAAATGCAGACGTATTGTTCATTTTGTGCAGCCATACACCCACCCAACCCCTTCTCTCACACACGCGTACCCTCAAAACAAAATCAGTTTAGACAACAATCACCCTCGAAACTGATTTTCACCAGTTGTAATCACTTTACTATACGCATCGTTCTCAGATTGAAAAAATCATTCAATATCTCTGACACATTTGCTGCTTGATTATGTCACTTGGTATACCCCCCCCCCCCCCNCCCCAATTGATTTAATTTTCATTCTCGCTTTTTCTCTGTCTGTCAACAGTCCGATGAGTTGAGTCGTTTGCGGACGGCCAATCAGGAACAGGCAACGCGAAACAGTCATTTGGAAATGAAACTCGACGAGAAAGAACATGAGTTGAAGACACAATCCAGTGAACTGGTACGACCTCATTTAGTTTGTGCACACACTGCTGTCTCCAACGGTTCTTACCACTTTCCCCGTCCATCCCTCTAGATTCTAATTGTACCCTCCAACAACCGCATATGCATTCAATGAGATGGTTCAGTGCTACGGTGTGTACCTCGTATTTGGTTAGAAACACAATTCAGCTGAAATCGGTACATCTTGGATAGGAAATCCGACGATTTAAAAACCTTATGCCACTAATATAAGGTGAAATAATTTCATGTTTCGTTTTAACCCGTGCGACTTCACAGAGTGTCAGTGCGATTGTTGTTGTCGTCGTTGTTGGTGTTGTTTTTGTTACTGTTGCGGTGGTGGTTGTCATCGTCATCGTTTTTGTTGTTGTTGTTGTTGTTGACGTTGTTTTTGTTGTTGTGAGAACAGTTTCTGATCAGAGTGTTATGATCTACAATTAAATAAATATTATTTCAATTTAGTTTCTTGGATTAATTGAACTATTACCAGATTCCATCTTCTCAAACAATCCTGGATAAATCCAATCGCTCACATATTTAAAAAGATACAGATCTGAGGTTTGTCGTCATCGAACTCTTTATTTGTGTATGTTCACCAGCTAGTGCAGGATTTGCACTCTTGACCTCGAGCATTGAAGGAGTCAGTTCTAACTTTACCCCAATCAGTTCACACGGAGCTAAGGACAATCACTATTTCAGGTTTGATCATAAACCGTCAGGCATTTGTGAGTCTGATAGCAAATATTTTCTATTAGTTGTCTTCCACCTAATCAACTCTGTCAAGTATAGGTCCGTACTCAAAATTTTTTGACTGTAATGAAGACAACATGATCATCGTGCTTCCCAGGTGTACGGTTGGTTTGGTGAACTGCGGATTATGTGTAAATACAAAGGTTGAATGATAATCATCCAAAAAGAATCATTGTTCTTGTGGTATGCCAGTTGCATCAGTTTTACTTCAGATACACCAACAGGTAGACAGGAAAATGTCCGCAAATCAAATGACTTGGCACGATGTGTGCAAGTTTTACTCCGTCCTAAATAACTGGAAACAGTTTTTTTTAATCGTGTATATTGAACACGATTGACGTGAACCAAAAGCTGACAGCTGAATAACATTCAAAGGCCTTTCTGCTTGAATAGGTTCAGGGGTTGAGCAATAGTGCTCAATATTTAGTCAGTGCATCTTGGTGCGTCCTAATCTCTCGCTTTTTGTACTTCGTCACAGGATTCTTACACTACTCACCATCTTCATTTCTTTATCCACATTAAACATTTCTTCACTCAAAACACGCTTTCCTATGTAAAGCTCTACCACGGCAACTCGCAGTCATTTTTCATCTTACTGCCAGATCGAGACCAGTGTCCGGTAATGATGTCCAACTGTCCCGATTGGAGTATCCAAAATGCTGCCTCTAACTCGTTGCTAGGCAGTTGCTCCATTATCCCTTGCACGGTTGTTACGTGGGCTGTGGGTTTTGTAGGCCGCCCTAATCTGTCCGTATGTCGATCGCATTTCATGGACAAAGATGGAGCTCAAACTTCAAGATGTCCTTTGGGTGAATGTTCCAGGCCAACTTATAGTTTGTTTTCAGCTATTCCCAGGAGGGTTCAATTGGGAAAAATTCTCCATGTTGGTTCTGTGGTGCTCCCTAAATGAAAACTCCCCCCCCCC